AGAGAGAGAGAGAGAGAGAGAGAGAGAGAGAGAGAGAGAGAGAGAAAGAAACGGACAGTTTACAATTTTAAAAAATAATAAAAAAAATTGAAAACAGAATTTTTTCATGTGAAGTCTAAAATTTATTTTCAAAATATACATCAAGCACGGATGTACTATCGTTTATCTTTTTCTATTATTTGTCTGGCTGCAGTTGATGCGTCGCGACACAAGTGCTTAAAGTCAATCAAATTGTGTGCATGCGTGTGATGTATTTCTTTTTCATATCTTTTCACATCGTGATAAACTTTATAAAAATGGAGTATATGTACTAACAAAGTTATAAAATTGCGATAAATACGATCATCAAACCATTCTGACGATAGTATTTATAAACACAGGCCTGCGCAGAAATGATGGTTCATAGAACAAAATAAAGTTTCAATCATGCGTATGTTCAACGACTGTGAAAGTGGACATTCCCCAAAACAGAGACTTCTATAGAAATATTTTGTTTCCTATCTGTCTTTATATACATATAAAGAATAATTTCTTCATAAAGTGTTAACGTTGTAAGAATAGACATAATCATAGTTGTCCGTTGTCCGAATTAATGATTGCTACGTGCTAGTGCACACTCTTAAAAAGATTCTTATGTCGGTCACATCGCATATTTTAGTTGAGATGCTGGACTGTTATATTTAGATAACTTTATCGGCAGCGAAGCCTTTATTTGTACCTTTATTTGTGTCGAAAGTGAAATCAAGTGTGACTGTACTCGTTGCGTAAACGAACATAGACATTGTAGAATTCGACAGGGACTGAATTTATTTCTATTTTCCAGGCGGCGTGAAGAGCATGAGCCGGGAGAGTGGTGCCGGAGCCGGCGGCGGAGTCGGTGTTGGCGGTGGCAACAACACGACGTATACACGATCGGTGATACCGCGCGAACTGGCCCAGGACTTCGCGAGGCCGCCACGCCTCGATGTGCTTCTCGACATGCCGCCAGCCTCGCGAGAAACACAAGTCCATCACAGCTGGAACGCTGATGATCGTAGTCTAAATATTTTTGTCAAGGTATATATTGATTACAGAAATATTGAAAAATCTTAAAAAATGTATAAGTAAATACAAATATATACAACTTTGTATATTATATATATAATTTATCCTTGTTACTCGAACGTTTATCGAATGTTTAGTTAAAGTATCCGACACTAATTATAAGGAAAAAATGATTTCAGTCAAGTTGATTGAAATATATAATCTAATATTTTGTAATCAGCGTAAACTTATGCTGATCAATAACCTCCATAGTCACAGCCATTAAAAATAAACATAATTTATTGTAGCATCATTTTAAAGTTATTATTTCGAATCTAATCGTATATCTTTATCTACAATACACAGTTTTTTTTTTAATTGTATAAGCATTGTAAATACGTATGTAATTATACGTGTGCCCTTTAGGAGGAGTTAATATCTCAGTGTGCGTAGATGGGAAGCGATGATGTGAGTGTATGTATATGTATCGGTATGTGTGTATTTCTGTTGATAGATAGTTCTTCCATTAGTATGTCTGATATTATTACATATGGACACATATAGGGTTATGTCTAAATGCTTATATAGTTAAAATAATAAACTGTGTATTGTAGATAAAGATACTTTTCCGATTAGATCTAATAAAATAGAAACTTTCAAATAGTTACAACAAATCTATCCATTTTTAACAATTGCGTGTACATGAATTTTAATCAATATCTTATAAGCTATAAAATATCAAAGTTTCAATTAATTTACTGAAATTTTTTCCATATAAGTACGGGATCCTTTCTTGATAATTCTAATTATTGTAACTATTTCAAAATTACATAAATATTAGTCTCCCTTAAATAATCAAAAGTGAAAATACAGAGAGACTACGACTTTCGTTCTTATTATCATATAACTCATTCGAACTTAGACTATTAAAAAATTTATGATTTCTTTTCAATACTATCTGATATGAATTCGTTTACTTTATCCATGTTACTTTACTGTCACTTTATTGATTTTCAAATTTAATAAGGTGTACTTTAGAATTTTGACAAATCGAATTTCTCATTAAACTGTTTTCATTATTTTTCCTAGGAGGACGACAAATTAACGTTTCATCGACATCCTGTCGCACAAAGTACAGATTGCATACGAGGGAAAGTAGGGTATACCAAGGGTATGCACGTATGGGAACTTTATTGGAGCACGAGGCAACGAGGTACGCATGCCGTCGTAGGAGTAGCAACGGCGGATGCACCTTTACATAGTGTCGGCTACCAGAGTTTGGTAGGAAACAACGAGCTCAGTTGGGGTTGGGATCTTGGTAGAAATAAACTCTATCATGACTCAAGAAACAACACTGGCGTGACGTATCCAGCCCTTCTCAAGTCTGATGAAACGTTTATTGTTCCTGATAAATTTCTTGGTAAGTAATTCCTGTATAATTGCAATTGCACAATCGCGTAATTTCAAGAATTTATGAAAATTAGAAATTTCTTTACGAGTATTTTAAACTTATTATAATTTCTTTTCACAGTTGTCCTTGATATGGATGAAGGCACGTTAGCGTTCGTAGTGGATGGTCAGTATCTTGGAGTAGCGTTCAGAGGGCTTAAAGGAAGGAAATTGCATCCTATTGTGTCCGCCGTGTGGGGACATTGCGAGATCACGATGAAATATATCGGCGGACTTGATCGTAAGCGAATTATATTCATAATGACTTACTCATAATACAATACTTTTAAAAATATGCAACGTCAATCTTACGAAGATATTTATATCTTAATAGACCATTTTTCTTGGTTCATTTTTTTAAATATTTATTTAATGAATATTTATTAAATATTAAGACAACGAGTGACTAAAATCTGTCATTTTATTGCGCATTATCGCGATCCTTCTTTTAATTAGATGTTTATCTTTTTCACAGCCGAACCTCTGCCTCTCATGGATCTCTGTCGAAGAGTGATTCGACAGCGAATCGGTAAACATAGACTAGAAGACAAGATCAATGAGCTGAATCTACCGCAGACGATGAAGACTTATCTTCTATACCGGGACAGAAGGTAACCACTGAGTGAATCTCCTCAAGATGCCACGATTATGACTGCGAACATCACCGTGTTAGAACGTTGCCACTACGATTCACAGGCGACCGTCCGCTATCCTCTCACACACCAAGAACAGCAACCCCTTAGCCGCGCGTCTCCGTTAATCAAGCGCACGATGTTAAACAGACTGACACGCGTCATGCGCCGACGCGTCGAGACACGCCTAGTACTTCGAGAAGGCGCGCTAAGAGAACGATGCCGAAATACCGTATTGATAACGACTTGTGGCGCCCTTATTAAGACAAGTCATGATGACCGCAATCTTCGCAGATGTTATTGCCATCGCCGATAAGTTCAACTCGATGAAGGCAAAGTTAAGAGACAAGATGGAAAAAGGGATTTTAACAAGATTTAGAAAAAATGTTTCTAAATTTAGTTGTTTTTAATGTTGTTTTAAGTTGCTTATTGTTGTCTCTGTTTTATGTTTCTTGTACTTCTATCTATGAAGATAGAGAATTATTATTTATTGATTATTAGAAAGTTGTACCGAGAAGACCGATGATTTCGGTACTTACACATTTGTGTATATATACTTATGCATTTCTTTTAAATATTCGTTTTATTGACGATACGTGTATATGACAAATTGTATCAGACGATGGCGATGAGATACGACATGTGCGTGTCGGAGACACATGGTTAGAGATGAAAGGCAAAAGATTATACGAAAACATGAAGAAACACAGCGCTTCGCAGTTGGCCAGTAAAAAAAAATTAGACTTAATCAAGCTTGGAGAGACTGATACGGACGTGTCGCTTGCTTACAACGGTTGATCAATATAGTGGATAGCGCTGCTGACTCTTAATCCTGCCGGGGCAGAAAAATGGTGAAACAACAAGAGGGAGAAGAAGCGAACCGAGAAAATAGAAAATACGAAGAAGGTTTTTACGTCGGAAATAGAAGATACGAAGAAAGTTTTTACGTCGGCGAATAATTAAAAATTGTCGACGAGGTGGTAATGGATTGCACAATTGTGGAACGATTAATTCAATTTAAAGTGTATAGTGATGGACATCGGGCAGCCACCTTCCAATAGACTCATTTTTCAAATATTTTCTAAGCATGCTAAATTTAATAAAGTATAGTGGTGTGTGCGTGTATCGTGGATGAATATAAAACAAAACAGAGACACGATGAGGAAGGCACGGAGGAGCAAGAGAATACAGTTAACCCTGCCATAATATTCTCTTTAGCAGTGTTCGAAAACATAGACTTTATAATTGCGAATTCTGCGGAGGAGAAACCGAGTGAAGAATGCAAACATAAAAAGGGTAAGCATCTAAAACTCGCGCTGTGGTGAATCGAATAAAAGACGTCTAAGTAAACTAATAACAAAAAGCATGTTACTAAAATTAATTATCTACATCTAATTGATTTAAAGTGCTGTAATGACTTCCGAAAATAGTATGTATTTAACTAATGTTTAAGAGAAGCGAATGAATACACGGGCATTGGCACAAATTATTCCAAACGCGAATTAAAACTGTCATGAATCGCTATGTAGCAAATCCGGTAAAAGGGTGACGAGTAACGATGTCGACTACTCATCATAACGATTATCGGATTATCGATCGTAATAGTTACAATAACGACAATGACGACGATAAACAATGATGCTGATTATATCGGATATGTAACTATTATACTATTAGCATGACAAATCTTACGACTGGGCTCTAGTATCTCTTTACTCTTACGTTTGTCGCTTAGGTTAAAGACTATGCCACCGTCAACGGCTATGTCGATTTGTATATAGATATATTGATAATATTGTACGACGACGTATACGTGTGTATTGTGGATGATGATTGTATTCGGAAACAGGCAGACCAAAATGCGAGAATGGTACCATCTTCATCGTTTCATACAAGCAAAGCAATCATCTCGCGTCGTCAGACCTCCGTATATCTTACTTTCTGACGCACGAGCTTAATGCGGTTTTAAAATCACTTCGATTGTTAATCGCTATGATGTCATTGTTTGCACCACCGGCTTAAGTTCGTCCGAGATTCGGATCGTATCGCGTCTTCCAAATTATCGTCAATCATTCGTAGCGTTTATCTGACCATTCTAACCCTCATTGAACGTAATAAATCGCATTTGCTCTCATATCTGTGATGATTACGTTTCTTCTTGGTGCAATTTCCCGTGATGACCTGTTTGAATGAGCCCAGTGTTCGCATGCTGGACATTCTAACAATCATCAAAGCATTTGGAGAGATAGCCAGTCTCATGTCATACCCGCAATATTTTCAAAAGCACGATCTCGCACTCGGGAGCTTTTGATTGTACAGCTTTGATGATTTTCAATATCCGGGAGCGTGATCTATTAGCGACATTGTTTTCGCTATCTTTTATATCGCGGAATTCGTAGGGAAAGTGCACAAATCTGTAACGCGAATAGATCGAATAATAAACGGATGCGAAGACGACTCTTTGCGAGAAACGTATCATCTCTCCATCGACACGTCGTCGTCGAAGATAATTCTGTCTTATGGTGGAAACTGGGAACGAGATAGAAAGAGAAACGCTGCGAGAGTGACGAAGAGGACTTCTGCACGGAAAGGAAGTCATCCTCGTTGTTTTTACTGTACAGTAGCAGCGGATAATTTACTTTGTCATCTTTTATTCGGCGCCTGTGCATGAAGGCAAAATGTCGAAACAGTTTCTCTCTAGCGGGAGAACTTTACAGTTTGCATACCGCGATAGAAAAAAAAATACGATTCTAAGTACGTGTACGAGGTAACACTACGTACCCGAAGACGCGCCTTAAGCGTTCACGATTCAATGTACATTCATTCATGTCGTTCATATATCGTTATACACGTGCGAGAAAACCGAGAACACTAGTACACGCGCGCGCGCACACCCTCAGAAAGGAAGGTTTTTTTCCGCAACTATACTTATTGCTACCCGTTGAACCGATACTGTTTTATATGAATTATTGCCTATAGGAACGCATGTCACGAGCTGAGCATGAAAGAGGACAAATAGGATGAAAATATTGTACAAAATTATTATTAATGATCAATATTAATATTATTACTGTATCGATCCCAATAGTTTAATTAATTACTCGGTCGTCGTTATCAGGTATTTACAATGTGTTAGTCAGGTATTTACAAATATTACGATATAATTGTGGTTTCAGTTTTTATACGATAGGGAGAAATGTGTATGCGGTCGATCGATTTAACAATTGAACATAACAGAGAATTTTTTTTCGAATATCTTTACCACCATTCTCTTTTTCGAAGAATAAAAATTCTTATGATTTAAATTAATTTCACATTATTTTAAATGACGGCTTGTTTCGAGCAATGAAATAAAAGAAATAAAATGAAAAAAATTAAACACATCTTTTATTTTGATATTGACATTTATTTTCAAAAAGATAAATTAATAATAAAAAGATAGAATAATTTGATTTTTTTGCTCAGTCTTAATTAAAAATTTAATTTCCGATGATAAAATTCTTATTACACACTTTATTACTTTTCATTTGTATATTTTTAATCATATTTATGGTAAAATTAATAATATATATTATTATAAAGTATATGTATTATGTATGATACAACAATTAAACTTTATTTTTAAATATTTATAATTAATTTTAAAATAAAACAGATTTATTATTTACTTAATGTAAAGATATAATATGTGTTTAAGTTGTTTAATCGTCAATTAAAATTCGATATGGTTATAAATTTTTTTTTTATTTATTGATATCTGTATTGATATCTGTACTTACATTACTTTTTACTGATACAGATATCAATACACGTTTTTATAAAAAGAAAACAATTCTTTCATTATTTTTTAAAAATAATTTACTACAGCTAAAAATGTAAATCAGTATAAAAAAAAAGATACCAAATAATATGCACAATCTAATTTTATTATATGACTATTCAATCCAATGTTATCAGAATGTCATAAAATGCGGAATGAAATAGAACAAAAAATTAAATTATATTTAAACTCAATATATAATTCATATATACATCTGGATTGAATTATATCTCAATTTAAAAAATCGGTAAAGTCAACTATCGTATAATTCATAATTTTATGATTTCACAGTACATTTTTTTATGGAGCTTATACGGGTATATTTTATTTTACATTTTTACAAGTAAGCTTTTTACTCCTAAATCTGAAAAGGAGCTGAAAAGATAGTTGGACTGTCCCGATTTTTAATTTACATCAATCGATCGCATACAATGATAAGTACAGGCAAGCTAGCTTTTAATAATAAAACCGCGATAGCGAGTTCAATTCGTTCACATGCGCCGCGGAAAGTGTTCCAGCAAAATTTGCGTGGCTGTTGCAAGGATTAATTTCCGTGAACTGCCTGCCCACCTGCCCTTGCAAACTACGTTGCCTCGACAAATGTGTCTAATTTATTAATGAAATGTGTAATGGGACGATAATTAGCGAGTTCAATCAGTTTAATTGAATGCTAGTACTCTAAAAAGAGGAGAAAGTATGTGTAAGAAAGAGAGCGAGAACATGTTAGTATGTTTGTATGCGCATGATGCGCGTTGAATGTATACTGCATGCATACGTGAATGTTGTGAATACTTATTCATGACTTATTTTTTCTTCCGCTTTTTCGTTCGCAAATTGTTATCGCTTGATTTTGAATTTTATCAAAGTGTCGTATTAGTCGTGGTCCAGAAATAAATTTCGGTTTTCTCATGATAATAGCTCAACAATTGCTCTGTAGAATACATTATTGTTTGATAATATGTAATAACATCTAATATTAGCTACAGGAATAAACATGAAAAGAAAAGAATTTCGTAGGAATTGTTTCTTATACAACTATCTACGTAAATTAAATAGTGCTGAAATTGCACTCGAGTTGAATATTCGATCAAGAATTAATTATTCAGTGCACAATTTAGTTATATTGCAAAATTTTCAAAATTTATTTTATAAAAGCCATAAAATTTTAATGAATTAAGAATTATTTTATCCCAAGACAACTATTTTTCAAAGCAGAATAAAATAACCCTTCAAAATTTTAAACATTTAAATACTATAATATATTATAAACTATGATATATGTATAGAATTCAAGAAATTTTAAGATTAAAATATGCCTTAAAAATTATAATATTTTCAGGAATACGTTATCTTAAATATTAAATTTATGATGATTCCACTGTGTTTAAAAATTTGTATATATTTGTGAATAATAGAAATCTCTTTTTACTATTTTTTTAAACAAATTTTATTTTATAGAAGATTATTTTAGAAAAATTAGAAAAATCGTTATAATAGCCTATGTATTTGTTTTTATATCGATCGAAACAAGGAAATTTTATCATTTTCAAACACAATTCAGGTGGAATCTTATTATTTTATTAATGCATCTTCTT